AAAATAATATTAAGAATATAAAATAATACAAATATGAAGATTATTCTTATAAATTGCTCTATTTTGAACTTTTTTTTTCTTTTTTTTTCTCTTTCAAAAATTTATCAAAATGAGCAGAAAAGGTCAATCACTAGCATACTTGATGATGAAGAAAATGACTCAAATCAATCCTCTACTGCGGCTTCTTATAGAAGAAACAGATCGATTACTAGTTTAATTGATGTAAAAATATCTTCTACTTCTAGAACATCATCATCGCGTAATGTAATAACAAAATATAGATATTCATAAAGCTCAATTTCAGATGTATTTCATCAACTTGAAATTCAGGAAGAAATGGGAGAGTCTTTAACAATATCAGCTTCAGATAAACGAATTATTGAACATAAATCAGAAGATGATGATTATCAGAAGGATTCTGATTCTACATTTGTATCTTGAAGACGTGTAAATAAGTACAAAAATCGACTAAAACCTAACATAAATCCTTCTTATGATAATTCTGAACAAAGTGTTGATGAGCCTTCTGAATCTTCTGAATATACCACTGAAGAAGACAATATTTCAGGTAGTAGTAGTAATAGAAATGAATCAGATGATGGAGAATCAGGTGATGATGAAGATTACGAAACATTTGAGAATTATACACCACCTGATTATAAGCTATTTCAGGACTCACCAGATATAGGATCAACAATTGATAACCAAATTTTATGGATTTTGCTCTGGATTATGTTATTTCAGACAAGATTCATTATAACGGAGACAGCAACTGAGGCTTTGATAAAATTTATGAAATTAGTCTTGACAGAAATTGGTGGAGATGATTTTAGAAACTTCCCAGATTTAATGTACTTGACAAGGAAAATACTTGGATTAAAAGATCATTTTCATAGCTTCGTTTTTTGTCTGAAAAATCATAAGCTGTATAAAAAACAGGAAGTGATAAATTTTAGACAAGAAGATTCACTTGCTATAATGAAGTGCCAACATGTAGAATTTCCTAATTTGTCACTCTGTAAATCACGAATTTGCAATACAACTATATATCAAACTATCAGTGTTGCAAATTGAGTAATAATTCAACCTAACTTAATCTTTCCATTTTCTGAAATTAGATAATAACTCGCTTTGATGTATAATTTCTTTGTTTTGAAAGTTGTTTAAGACAATGGGCAAATCGTCGGCATTATAATAATATTAGGACTGAAATATATGATGGTCAAGTATGGCAGATATTGAAAAAATCTTCTAAAGAAAATTCGCAAAATTTTTTTAGAGATGAAGTGGCTGATTCTTACCTTGGATTAATATTGAACTCAGATTGGTTCCAGCCTTATAAAAGCATTGTATATAGTATTGGTATTATTTATGCTGCTATATGCAATTTGCCACGTGATATCTGATTCAAACATGAAAACCTACTGACTCTTGGCCTCTTAACTGGGCCAAGTGAAGTAAGTTTGCATAAAATAAATTATTATTTAGCACTGATTGTTGATGAATTGAAATCTCTTTGGGATGGAATAACTATAGATAAAACATACGAATTTTAAGAAGGAAGGACCATTCGTGCAGCTCTAATTCTTATTTCATGTGATATACCAGCCGTTAGAAAAATATGTGGTCATATTTCAGCCTTAGTATCATATCATAGGTGTGAGAAGAAAGCAAATTATGAAAATCAGTAGCATAATTTTGCCAGTATGGATGATTTTGATGATTGGTTCTTCATGTGAAATCCAACTGAACATTATCAGAATGCTTTAGAATGGAGATATTGCAATTCTGATACTTTACGAAAGGCATTTATAAAACAAACTGGTGAAAGATGGTCTGAATTATTGCGATTACCATATTTTGACCCTATTAGATTTATTACAATCGATCCAATGTATTGCTTATTTTTAGAAATTGCACAATGGATAGTAAAACAAATTTGGATTAATAGGGGAATTTTAACATTAAATGCCTTGAAAAAATTCAGAAAAAATGAATGAGTTTCAGATACTATCTAATTTGGGTCGAATTCCAGGTAAAATTCATGAAGGAGAAGGATTTTCTAATTTCACAGCCATTCAATGGTGAATATTTTTTACTGTTTATGCCACTGTATCACTTTGGGAACATCTTTCAGCTGTAGATAAAAAGATTCTTACACATTTTGTGAGAATTTGCTTAATTTTAGTTATCCGAATTATAGAATCAGATTTTGTTTTAGAAGCTCATCAAAGATTAATTGAAATAACAAAGCTGATAGAAGTTAATCATGGTCATAATAAAATTACGCTGAACATTTATTTATCTCTTCATTTATACGATTGCTCATTTGATTATAGGCCATTGCATGCGTTCTGATGTTTTTCTTTCGAACATATGAATGGAATGTTAGGTAATTCATCATTATGAAAATTTTCCGATTGAATATATTTATTAATTTTTAAATTTATAATTCTTAGGCTCTTTACCGAATAGCAATAGAAAAATCGAACCT